AAAAGGAAAAATTTAAGATTATCGAAAAAGTTCCATCAATCAAAATTTAGTTCGGATATATACGGCACTTGTATCATGATCACTATAACCTAAACGTTTTGCATGTTTAAATACTTCATTTACACTGGCCGTCACTGGACAAGGTTGTTCCAAAATATCCGACCAGTTTAATGATAAACTTAAGTCCTTTTGAATATGTTTTAAAGCTTGATGTGTTTGAAAATTACCGACCATCATAGCTATAATTAACAGATAATATATAATTCATATTAATTAAAACTAAATATAAATTAAGATGGACATACCGTTTCCTTTTTCTATTAACAATGGAGAGTTTAATGAAGTCAATTCTAGAATTTCCAGCATAGATTGTTGCGGAATACAAGCTCTATCAGCCAGAGCCATACCTTCAGCCAATCCTGCTAAAGCTACCGCTTTGATTGAATGTAAAATCAAATTCATTTTTGTGGCTGCTCCAACATCACCTAATAAATAATTAGAGTAATTTATAAAATGAATCAATGTAATAAATGTATTTAAATTTACCTAGATACATTGATTTGTTGGCAAACGAACAAAATGCTGATTCACAATCAGCGAATAAAGACTTATCACCAGCTGTCAAACAAATTAATTCCCCTTCTTCTGCATTCAATTTACTTCCCTGAATCATGGCTTCTAAATAACGCCCGCCTCTACTTAATATAGCCTGTAATAAGCAGTAATAATAACATCATAATCAAATAAAATAAGTTATATGTATTGAAATATGATATTATTAGTATAAAAATATTTAATATTTCACTTGCACAAACCTCACAAATATCTTGAGATGTTTCTGGATCAATACCAGTCATTTCAACATATCCTTTGGTTTTATCTATTTCAGGAAGTACACCACAATTCCCAAATACCATCTATAAAAATCACCAAATAAAATTAATTATGAAAGAAAAATAATTATATTAATATTATCTTACATCTTTAGCAACTTGTGGATCAGAAACACAAGAAAATGTTATATCTGCTTCTCCTATAATATCAGCTGGAGTTAATCCAACTGAAGCTCCAATATCTTGAAACTTTTGACACTATAAATTCAAAAAATATAAATTTGCTATTCATAAAATAATACATAGTTAGAGCAATAATGTTAAATTAACAAGAGACAAATGTCTGTTTTTATTGTTGAGTTATAATAATTATCATATTATTCATATTCAATAAGATTCTTAATATTATATGCTCAGATATATACTATTTACAAAGGATAAAGAAACATAAGCGTATACAGTTAAATAAGATTTTAATCATGAACCTATAGCTGAGAATAATACCAATTTATATTTTCATAACATTAAAATAGTAACTATAAACGTTTTATTTTAAATAAWAACAAGTACCTACTTAWCCAATATTCAATACAGGAATAACATGATAAGTAATAAGGCAATCAACGACTTATCATAATATACAGATCTAACAATAATCTTAAGACTATTTATCTTTTATAAATTACTAGTCTTAACATGTCAATATACTATTAAAATATTATTAGTTAGGACTGTTAAAAGGCCAAGTATTATTCAATACTAAAATCTTATGGGTACAGATGATTATATAAATATATATTCAAACGGTTAAAAAATATTAAAATAATATTATTTTATTTCAATAAATATTTTTTATGACCGCATACCATTTTGGCCACAAAAATATAAATAAAGATCGAAATAATAGATTTCATCACAAAACAAACAAAGGATAATATATAAATTTGAAGGAAATGTAGAAAGATCAATATATCAGGTAAGATAAACATAACCTAACCTAATATAGTGGCATTGTACCATGTATATTGTATACCATACATGTAATATGGTAGACAATATAACTAATATGAACAATGTAGAAGTTAGTATAATTAATTACAATAACATAAAATGGTTTTGATCATTTTATCTTTTTTAAGCTAACCTATAGTTGTATTTTTAACACTAAAAATTATTGTTTATTTTACCACAACTTAAAGTGCAAGATAGATTAACCAGCGTAATGTATTGATGTGACTATTCATAATTATTAGATCATTAGCTGCTGAAACATAATATAGAACTATTTGATGTTAAATATAATTTTTGAAGTACCACAACATTGCGTATAAATGATAATCCGTGTTTACATAATAATATTGTAGTAGTGTAAATAATTGATTGTAATAATAAAAAAATAATATTTTGGCGTTTAATAAAAAACAATACTGCAGCAAATTCTAGATAACACACATAACGCTTAAATTATAAACCGTATAATATCAATATGTTTATGGTACTTTTCGTTCAAGTCGATAACAATGTAATTATATTTTTATATAAGTTAATAAATTTAATTGCATAACATTTCACATTAAAACTACTACTAATATGGTAATGTCACGTGTTTAGTCGATAGACTTCTGACAGATTTCGGGATGTATTCTATTTTTAATTTTTATACTACGCCACACAAATYGTGTTCTTACAAAATCAAACACAAACAAAACACTATAATAATTTTACCCTGGTGTGGCTACTGGTTTTAAAATAGCCGATTTAAAGTATATTAATAGGTTACAGGTTAAAATATAAAAATTCGGAAACTATTTGAAGTTATTTTGTGTTSACGAATGATTACATTATTATTATTCAGCAGTAACTTAGAACATTACAATTTTTCATAAAAGGTGGACACTACTTCGCATGATTTGATAAAAAATTTAATAATTAACTTAGAAGTCGGGTTTCTACTATAGATTGTTGTATACGTATATTTCGAACTTAGAAATAGAACAGGTTAGTGGCATAGTTACCTACGTGACCTACAGAACATGACACTACACGACACAGATGTATTGGAAACTAAAAACTCGGCTAAGATGAATTACACCCTTTTGTTCCCTTGTGGTAAAATGGTTATTAATAAAAGTATTTAAAATATAAACTACAAAATGCATTCTTATCGAGTATTTGAAATACATACAAAATAATATTAGTTAATCAAAAATTAAAAAGGGATATAAAAATGTTGTTAAAATAATTTATTGTATTTCATTAATTTGGATTTAATTATAAAATATATATTGTCTATCATATAACCAAATTTGTTTAAAAGGTTAGGTTAGGTAATTGATATGATCGAATAACCATGAAATAGAGGAGAGATTCATGAATCCAATAAATTAACCTTAACTTGTGTTTTACTTTTATTTAGTTTTTGGTTGGCAACTATAACAGTTCATAAACTCGTGTTATATAAGATWAGTATTTTATTTACTTTAGGGTATCTGAGCAAGATGAATTTCAACTTTGATAATTAAAAAATTWAAAAATATCTAATCCCGTAAGAACGTTGATAATATTTCTAGTAAGTAGTAACTTTAAAATATTTTAAGTGGTTATGGATTTTATATTTTAAATCATCAAGAATATATCATATTAAGGAAATCAACAAGTTTTATTTAAAATACAGGCTAAATTTTATAAAATTAGTAACGTCTTTTATCAATTTCAACGTTCATAAACAGACWATCATCGAGTGATGAATACGATACGCTACGGCACGTGTTTAACTAATCGTTAAAAAGTTGGGATAATCTATGAATGTACAAATTGTGTTTTAAAAATGTGTAGAAACTAGTGGCAGCCGCGAGACTCGTGAAAGACGCCTCAGATCTGCATAATTGATCTCTAGAATCAGATTTTGCCTTTTCCACTTTTTATGACATAACTTGGTTATGAGTTGACGGCAGTGGTGGACTACCAAAAAGTCCTTAGCATAAAAAGTGCGGTACATATAATTAGGTAAAAAAGGATGGGATGCACAGTCAAAGTTCAAATTAGTATTAATAGAACTATAATTGTAAATGGTTTTCCAGACGAGATAATTTATTACAATGTATTATAATTATTCATTTTTTTTTTTTTAATCAAATTAATTTAAACATGGTTATACACCGGTCTTTTAAGAACTAGCCAATTAGGAGATTAGGACATATTATGAGTTGCAGATTTTTTTATCGTAATCCGACGACATTATGTTCGTATATGATGACTATAAGACGTCCGTCGATTTATTTTGCGTCTTGAAGAAGTCTATATTTTCCAGATACAAGCACCACACACTTGTTTTGCCGATTGTCTGTTCATGTATGTTGAAATTATTATTCATTAATATTATAATATGACACGTCACGCCACTCTGCCACAAGCCCACAATATCCCGCGATAGACAAGCAGCTGTGACGTGCCGCAACCGCTTAGACAAGTTGTTTCGAGCGGTTTTTTGTTGAAAAATAAACACAACCGTGATTTCCCGAAGATCAGTATTAATTCACTAGCGGTTTTCGTTATGCATCGAAAGCTCTTAAAAATTGGTTTATGACATTTACGTTATTTAGCAGCAAAGCCGCTTTAAAGCTGAATATTTCTGTTTGGTATTATAATATAATATATGACCATGAACCAGTTTATCTATATACACGATTCGGGTTTTAGAGTTCTTCTAAAAATTTGTGAACRTACTGAACATTGAAATCTAAGAGAATTAACATTCGAAATGATTGAAAAAATAAATTGGAAATAATTATATAATGACCTATAGTTATGAAATACGAATGAACATAATGAAAATATTAAATACAGTTGATATATCTATTCGATCGTTTAGGACGTTTAGGTAACCCACTATCATCCGCTCTTCATTTCTTTAATTTCTTCAATGCGTATACAGTATACATTTATAACGAATAACGATCGTTATTCGTTGCGTCCTACTCTCTTGTTCAATGACTATGTTGACGGTTATAAATCGCTGTTGGCACGCGCTCGACAGTGCACCCACAAGACGGTCGTCGTTGGCGCGGTTGGCCACACTGAGTCATCAAAGAAACTGGCTTCACAGCGTTTAATACCGTCGTTCGACAGTACTCACTACTCAGTATCCTTATATCTTTTTTCAAACGTTACGCGGCCGACAACATTTTATGATTCTAATTTTTCTCAACATTTATCCGAGAAAAGTGTCCGATAACTCGGCACAAATGAGATCCAACCGGCATATAAGACATATTAAAAGGTAAACGCATAAAACATTTGAATAATATTTTCAAACCCTATTCTTATTGAACATGAAATGTTTCAGATAACTCGAAAATGGATTCATTTACGATCATTTTGACGACCATCATACTTATACTTTCTAAACTCACGAATGCACTGGGCGCGCTGTCCACCGTATGCGATAACGAAATGGCTTGCAAATGCATAAACAACACTGTGTCGTGCATGACGTTACAACAAGATGGAACAATCATTCTTCCGTACGGCACAGAAGTCGTACATTTCAACGACGTTCCAGCCGTGATAGTCAACAATAGCACATTTGCAAATGGGAAACAACTGCAGGAAATTACATGGGTGGCAAGTAAGATAAAATTAGTGGAGGCGTTGTATCAAAATTATCTGAAGTACTTGGATTTATCTAGAAACAATATTTTTAAACTATCGGATGATACGTTTCACAACTGTCCTCTTTTAGAGTACATAGACCTGTCTGACAATCAACTAAACATTTTATCAGACGATTTATTTTCACACGYTAGCTCACTGAGAACAGTCATTTTAGAAAATAATAATTTTAATTCAATATCAGAGAATTTCTTCAAATACACAATCAATTTAAAAAACCTTAGTATAGGTAATCCAAATTTATCTGTACTAGATAAAAATTCAATTGCAAACTTGTACAAACTGGAATACCTGAGTATTCAAAATTGTGGGATAAGAAATCTCAATCAAAGTTCCTTTGGTGAACATTTAAATCTATATAGTGTTAAGCTGAATAACTGTACACATTTAACATCAATTGATAACGATTTCATCAGTTCATCACCAAACATCAAAATTATAGAACTTAACAACTGTGGAATAATTGATTCATTACCATCCAATATTGTTTCTCTTAAAAACCTACAACAGTTACAAATGTCAAATACACAAATTCAGCCAAATTGTCAAAATGGATGGTTTAGCCAATGGTTCAATAATACAACAACTACTGTAGCGGGTTATGAAAATTATTCAAATTTTATTGAAACACTTAATGAAATTAACTGCCCGCCAAAAATATACTATACAAACAGTCCTATTACATTACAGTTAACCAAAAAAGGAATAATTAATTGTATGGCTTATGGAAATCCATTTCCGTCAATCACTTGGTTAGTGCCAGGTGGATTAACATTTCATGAAAATAAACAAGCTGATATAAATATATCACACCATCCAAATGTCCATAACTGGGATCTAAATCAAATAGTTAGTCAATCGCTTTCAATTCACAAAAATGGATCTTTAAATATTCTACGAATGCTAAGAACTCATATTGGTAACTATACATGCTATGTATCAAATAAATATGGAAACAGTTCTAAACTAGTGGAAGTACATCTAGACAGTGGAGTATTTTTCAGTATCAAAATAAATGCACTGTTATTAGGAATATCTTCAGCATTAGGATTTTTAATGCTAACTATTTTATGTTGTGCTCTCAAGCTATTATTAGTAAGGTTAGTATAATTTTTGTTTTTGTTTTTTTTTTAGTTTATTGTTAATAATGTTTATAATTATGTTATAGACTGAATTGTATAAAAAAAAGTCAACAGACAGAAACAGAAATGGGATCTACAGAAAAACCAACAATTTTTCCAGCAGATGTTTAGTTAAAGATAATTGTTCCAAGAAATATTGTCTAATGGTAATTTTTTATTTGATTTTACATAAAATTGTTAAATTTATTCTTAAAATAGTACCGAAAATAAATTTACTGACAATTTTATTAGCTCATAAATATAATAGATATATAAAACATTTGTTGAGCTATATTTTCAATACTACAAAAAAAACTAAATATATATATTTAAATTGTTTGAATAAAAAACAATAATATAATTGTATGTATTTGTAATAAAACTATCAAGTGTATAAATTTAAATAAATAGTTAAATGTTTGAAAAATAATTTCTGTATTAACTAATTCAATTTATGTTTAAGTATAACGCAAAAATTAATTCAGTAATAAAATGTAAATAATTGTATCATAAAATAGCATAAATATAATTATAGTTCGTAAATTTATATATTAAAATTATAAATAATATTTATAATAGAAACATAACTGTTCTTTTGTGTTCCACTTTACTATCAATAATATAAAAATATTAATTGTAACAAATACCTAGTTTAAATTCATAAATTATTATTGATAATTTAGCCAATATTGATAAAAATAAAAATAATAAAATAATTTTTAGTAAAACTATAAAATTGTTAGAAGATAGGTAATAATCTAACCTGACAAGAAACCACAAAACAATAAGTTATGGTTCTCAAAATGTTGGGTTCTGCTTCTAAAAAAGTAACAAAATTAAAAATAGAATTGTCACATAATATTAATTATATTGATTTTAAATCAATTAATATTATAATTTAAGATTTCAAGGAAATTAACAGCAATATTATATGTTTTATGTAGGTCAATATTAATCCATGTTTGGAGTATCAGCTAGTTTTACTCACGGAACTGGTATTAAGTTGGAAACTGCATACATTAAAGATAAAAGTTATGTATGTAATAAATAATAATAAAAATATTATTTCCATATTATTATTTTTCAATATCTATAAAATGTAGATTTTTGTATTATTTTTGTATGATAAAATAAAATAATGGATATTTATTAAATCGAATAAAGAACAAAATGATTTTAATATCCTCTACTACAATAGAAAAATTGATGTCTAATAGGTAATTATGAACATCATATTTATCTGATTAAGAACAATATTTAATTAAATAGTTCTATTTATTAAGTGTTTTTCAAAAATATTAATTTTAACAGTTAAATTAAATATACTAAAAACAAGGAGATGACCTTAAACATTGAGTAAGTCAGAGTAATGTATGTGCTAAATTTAAATTCATTCATAAATCATTGTATAAGAAAAATAATTCTGAGGAAAAATTGTTAGTCAGCCATTATTACTAAGTTAATAGTATAAAATATTAAATCTTGCTGTTATAATAAATTTATTGTACTATTTATGTATTACAAAAATGAGAAACTGGGGAATAGATAGAAAAAAAGATAAAGACGAAATAAATAGTAGCCGTTTAGAAGAATTTTCAGGGATAGTCAGTGAAGGGCTATCGTGCATGAGTAGGTTTCTCTGGTTTATTAAAAGACCGTTATGGCATCTTTTGTAGTGTATTTTAGCCACGTCTGCAACTAAGAGTTTGGAGATATTGTGAGTGTGTGATTGGAAACGTAATAAGGTGATTTAGTGATTTGTCCTCAAAGTTTGGGATTGATAGGTTTGTATTCTATTGATTTTAGTAGATTTTGATGACCCCCTGAGCTGTATTCCATAGAACTATATTGGTTTAAATAGCATTTTGTGTATAAGAAGCTTGTTGTTCAGATGAATATGTTTAGAGGTCAGTAGGTGTCACAGCTGGCAGCTACAATCATTGAGCATTAAACGTTTGGAGCGTATATAAGGAGCCAGCAGTTTAGGGTGAGTAAGAGATGTTTAACATTTTAAAAGTAGGGTAGTTGTGGGCAGTCTCAATCCACTAATTGAATTAGTAAAAACTAGTTTTGAAAGTATCTAAACTAGCATTCTTTATTTAAATAATTAATTTCTTCCAAATTTAAATTTAATATTATATCCATTAAAAAAAAGAACTATTCAATATTTTTTGTTGCAATAGAAATTACTTACAAGACATTTTATTTGTAATTTAGAATCTTAAAAACTGAAATTTTTCTCAAATTTCAAAAATAATTTGTAATTTTTCATGATTTTGATAACTTTAGAAAAATTATACTTAAAATGCTAAAAATGTAGTTTTTTGACTCAGCTWAAAGTAATAATAATTACACAAGTACGTTGAATTAAAAAAAATATAAAATTTCAAATTTTATAAATAACTCAAGTTTAAATAATTATTATGCTCATTTAGTAGAAATTTCAAGTATTTATGGTCTTGGGCTGACGATAAAATATRAAAATCACTTAACCAAAAGTTTTTTTTCTTACACTTAAAAAAATTATTATAAATTATCTATTTAACCTCTAGAAAATACAATTGGATACATATTTAAAACTAAAATCACTTCTTCCCTAAAAATTTAAAATGAACGTATCATTTCAACTACTTATCATGTATACACATTGTAAAAGCAATACTTTTGTACCTCTGCTTAGAATCTAGAAAAGGGGTGAATATTGGTTAGTGAAGTGACTTCCTGCAAAGTTTATATTTTATAAGCGAGTAATATAACACAAAATACAGCAAACAAAGAACATAATTATACGTTTTGTACTACAGTCAAATGAAAAAAATAATCTTTAATGAAATTTTGAAAT